CTTGAGCCGGTGAGATTAGAACCGCTGAACTGCAGATAACAGTCAGCTGAAGTGGCCTGAGGTACTGCACCCTAACCACTGCGCCACCTCGGCTCCTTGTACAATTGGAGACAATTGGTTGTCCATTTTCTTCTTAAAAACCTCCAGTGATTGGGTGCCTACACAACTTCAGAAGGCAAACCGTTCCAGTAGTTAATTGTTCTCACTATTAGGAGGTTTCTACTTAACTCAAGGTTGCTTCTCTCCTTGATGAGTTTCCATCCATTGTTTCTTATCTTACCTTCTGATGCTTTGGAAAATAAGTTGACCCCTTCCTTTTTGTGGCAGCCCCTCAAATATTGAAATACTGCTAATATGTCACCCCTAGTCCTTCTTTTCTCTAGACAAGACATATCCAGTTCCTGAAACCGTCCTTCATATGTTTTAGCCTCCAGCCTCCTAATCATCTTTGTCCCTCTTCTCTAAACTTTTTCCAAAGTCTCAACATCTTTTTGTAATGTGGTGACAAAAACTGGCTGCAGTATTCCAGGTGTGGTCTTACTAAGGCTTTATAAAGTGGTATGTACTCTATTTAACAAGGCAAAGTGTTGTAGCTTGGTGTGGAGTAAGCTACATTCATGTCAAGATTTAAGTGCTTTAGCTTCTTCAGTAATTGGCTAGAGGTACCTCCGATGAAACTGTGAAAACAGGAGTGTTAAAATGGAACCTTAACCCTGTGGATTCTATTGCTTCCAACACCAGAGATGGCTAACCGGTGGGAAACGAGACATTTGTCCTCTGACTTGCTTGTTCTCCTTTGTAGGGAGAGATTTATTGGTTTATCTGTTTATCTGTCTCCCTGTCCATCATATTCCTGAACTGCCCATCACCTTCAGATGTCTGGAATAAAGATGTCCCAGCAGAAGGAGCAAGTCACTGCTCCCATGGTGACATTGTCTGTGCCCCAGGAACCTTATGCTGTGGGATACTCTGCTTCATACACCCCAGAGGCCTACACATCACAGCCCTACAATCCACAGATGTATGCCCCAGAGGCCTACGGCCCCGAACCACAAAGCTATAAACAATACGCATCAGATTCCTACGCACCTAATGGTTCAGAGATCGAGCATTATCGTGTCACAGGTATGTGTCAGGTGCTTTTCCAAGGGTGAGGTTTGGATCAAAAGAAAGAGAATTGGGTTGGGGGCTTGATTCAAACCCTCTGCAATGCTTCTCTTTCTTCCTCCTCGATGCAGATGCTTGCTGCTATGAAGTTGCATCTCCACCTCCGTATAGCTGCGAAGAAGTGCCTTGCGATACATTAGGACCAGGTATGCACCAGAGACCTCTATGCAGAGGACTGATTCATATACAGGCAGTCCTTGACCTACAACCATTCATTCAGTGACCATTCAAACCTACAGTGGCACTGAAAAAAGTGACTTATGACCAGTCCTCATACTTATGACCACACACAATTCCCATGTCCCTGTGATCCAAATTTGGGTGCTTACCAACTGGCATGTATTTATACAAGTTGCAGCTTCTTAGGTCATGTGATTTGCAACCTTTCCTGTAGACATCAATAAGAGAAGTCAACGGCGAGAGCTGGAATCGCTTAGCAATCACATGATTTGCTTAAGGACTGCAGTTATTTGCTTAACAATCATGGTGCAAAACAACCAACGGTTGCAAAATCAGGTCCAATGCATTTTATAATTTCTTTGCTTAGCAATGGAACTTCTGGTCAGTTGTAGTCATAAATTGAGGACTACCTGTAATCTTGGGGAAGAATAAGATGCCTTAGATGTCCAAGTAGCATTCTTTGATATCTCTTCCCAAACACCAAGGGTTAAGGTTTCTGTTGGGCTTTGCACAAAATAGACCACAGAACACTGATGACAACCAGTTGTAGATCTCAGCCCTTAGTGAGGGAAGTGATGCTGCTTTTGTGGAAGTCTGATAAGGAACAACTGGTTGGAACTGATAACACCCAGTGGCTTTGGGACAGGCAGGCAGGCAGATAAGAGAGACAGACAGACAGAAGATGAATGGATGGATAATAGGTATATAGAGAGACAAGTAGGTGTGTGTGAGAGAGACGATGGATAGATAGATAGATGATAGATGATGGATGAACGGACGGACGGACGGACGGA